CGCTGCAGAGCTGCTTCTGTGTGGGCAACAAGGGCGGCGTCATCAGCGTAAAGCAGCTCCCGGACAAGATGGTTTAGGGTCTTAGTATGGGCCTTCAGTCGCCTTAGGTTGAATAGGCTTCCATCAGTACGGTATCGAATGTAGATACCGTCCTGATCATCGAGGTCTGCCGTGGCCCTTTGGAGCATCATACTGAAAAAGACTGTGAATAGGGTAGGAGCGAGAACGCAGCCTTGTTTCACACCATTCTTTATTAGAAAGGGCTCAGAAAGTGAGTTGCCATATCTGACTTGGCCGTGCTGATCCTCATGAAGTGAGATGATCATTTTAAGGAACTTGGGGGGACAACCTAAACGTTCCAAAATCTGCCAGAGACCTTTTCTGCTCACAGTATCGAAAGCCTTGGTGAGGTCGACAAAGGTTACATAGAGACCTTTGTTCTGTTCCCTACACTTTTCTTGCAGTTGTCTGAGAACAAATATCATGTCTGTGGTGCTCCTGTTGGCTCTGAAGCCACACTGACTTTCAGGTAGAATATCTTCTGCTATAGCAGGTATTAGTCTGTTCAGGAGTATTCTTGCCAAGATTTTGCCAGCAATGGAGAGCAGAGTAATACCACGGTAATTTGAGCAGTCTGATTTAGTACCTTTCTTCTTATACAAAGTGATGATGACTGCATCACGAAGGTCTGATGGTAGTTCGCCTAGTTCCCAACAGCGCACCACAAGCTCATGAAATTTAGCATGGAGTGCAAGGCCCCCATGTTTCCAGACTTCAGGTGGGATTCCATCAACCCCAGCTGCCTTGCCGATTTTCACCTGCTGTATGGCCTTGAGGGTTTCTCCTAAAGTGGGAGCAGTATCCAATTCATACTTCACTGGTTGTTGTGTGATGGACTGAATTGCTGAGTCTTGGACTACACGGTTGGTACTGAAAAGAGTCTGAAAGTGTTCAGACCATCGATTCAGAATGGAGGTTTTATCTGTCAGAAGCGTTTGACCATCTGCACTGAGTAATGGGCTTTGGACTTGGTATGTAGGCCCGTATGCTGTTTTCAGGGCCTCATAGAATCCTTTGTGATCCCCTGTATCTGCACATAGTTGAGTTTTTGCAGCTAGATCGATCCACCACTTGTTCTGGATGTCACGGAGTTTCTGTTGGAGCTTGCTGCAAGCAAGACGAAAGGCTGTTTTTCTTGCGTGACAGGATGGCAGTGCAAGGTGTGCTTGGTGGGCAGTTCTCTTCTTCCTCAACAATTCCTGGATTTCTTGATTATTATCATCAAACCAGTCCTTGTTCTTCTTGAGGGAGAACCCTAAGGATTCTTCAGAGGATTGCAGGATACTGCTTTTAATATGATGCCAAATTGTTTCAGGAGAGGAATCTGCAGAATCTGTGGAATGGTTATCAAGCTTAGTTTGAAGGTTTGCCTGGAATCTTTCTCTTACTGTGGCTGATTGGAGATTGTTGACTTGGAGTCTTCTCCTTGGGATACTGCCCCTTTTGGGTTTGAATTTGAGAATAAAGTTGAGTTTACAGCGCACAAGCCGATGGTCTGTTTGGCATTCTGCGCTGGGCATCACGCGGGTATGGAGGACATCGCGGACATCTCTCCGTCGCACCAAGACATAATCAATGAGGTGCCAATGCTTAGACCTGGGGTGCATCCAGGTTGTCTTCAGACTATTTTTCTGCTGAAAGATAGTATTGGTGATGGTAAACTGTTGCTCCGCACAGAATTCTAGCAGAAGTCGACCATTATCGTTGCAGTTTCCAACACCATGCTTGCCTAATATTCCTTTCCATGCTTCAAAATTTTTACCTACTCTGGCGTTGAAATCACCAAGGATAATGATCTTATCATCTGCTGGTACCTTTTGGGTAAGGCAGCGCAGGTCAGTGTAAAATTTATCTTTTTCAGCAGGGTCAGCTTGGAGAGTTGGGGCATATATACTAAAGATGACAACGTGATGCTTGTTGTTTAGTGGAAGGCGTAGGGAGATAATGCGGTCAGAGTGACCTGTCGGCAGATTTTCGAGTTTAGGGACAATAGAGTTTTTGATCATGAAGCCGACACCTGAGAGATGTTTTTCGGTTTTGGGCTTACCTGACCAAAAGAGTGTGTAACCGGCACCATGTTCTCTGAGGCTGCCTTCCTCGTGAAGGCGAACTTCACTGAGAGCAGCAATGTCAATGTTGAGACGGGCCAGTTCATGGGCAATTAGGGCAGAACGTCGCTCAGGACGACCGCTCTCTGCAGAATCGAGCATGGTTCTGATGTTCCAACATGCTAAAGTTAATTTAGGTACACCTTTGGAGGCAGGTGCATGCCTTTGACTTTTGCTCTTTGTGCGACCGCATTGGAAGAAGATGCCCGTTGGTCTGCGGTTAACCAACCGGGTGAAGGTGGAGATGAGCTTTGTTTAGGCCACCTTTTCTAGGCCCCTCTCCGAGTGGAGCAAGCAGTGCTGTCCTTGAAAAGGCTGCTTGGACGTTCAGGGTGCTGCCCCAAGAGACTCTCATCTCCGTCAGTCTCAAATGACCAATATCCTGAACCGCCTGCATGCAGGGTTGGGTCTGCGGCTCCCAGTGCACCTTTCACCTACCGTTTCGACCCTCGCCCGTCGCTACAGGACTTTTTGCATGTGGGTAAAGCCTTCAAGCCTGCGCAATGGATTTTTTAGGTGAGATGCAGTATGCGCGAAACTGAACCCACCCTTTAATCCTAAGGTTCATCTGCCAGGGCCGAGCAAGCTTGGACAGTGGCAGCGAGGTCCTCAGGACGTAGGTTTGATTAGAGTGACCTTCTCTTAGATGGATGGCCTTACAGGGCTAAGCGAGCTCCATCTACCCGGGTTTGAGATTAGAGTTGTCCTTCTCCTAGGATGACTGCCAGAAGGCTAACGAGCTCATCCTGCCCAAGAACGTAGTGTATCTGGTCCTACGGTTTTGACCTGTCTGGCATGGGTGACCCTACTGAAGGCATGAACCAACACCAGCATAGCTCGCAACCATATAGGGGTACACAGGCTACATACCTGTTACCACAATTTCGGCAAGTCTTACATTTCCTACTTTACTAACACATACCTATACACAATCTCAAGGAGAAATCCAGGAACAACCCTTTGACCTATCCACACTTTCAGGACATAACAGAGCATCGAGACACCACTACAATAATAAAGAAAAGAAATCTTATTTACCTAAAGGCAGTCTGTGATCTATGTCATTCTGCTGAAACCGTGAAACTCCCTATGACAACGGTCTAAAGACAAAGTAAGCTGAAGTTGTCTTTTTGTTCCTATAAGAAAGACAGATTGTACTTATTGAACTCTAGGGTACAGGAGGTAAATTCATTTTTTAGAATCAACCTTGGAAAAGGAAGACATTAGTGTAGACATATTGAAAGGCACAGCTGACCTTTTTCAATAACAGATGTATATACAGAACAAACCCCTTCTACTCAGACGTTTATCATGTCCTTATTTCAAAGAGCAGCAGCCATTACACAGTGAAGCTCAAATGGCACTTTGGATTTCTTTTTGGTTTAAAAAAAAAAAAAAAGGGACATATCTTAATTTGAAACACACGGTTTTTCAAACTTTTCAATTTGCAGCTCCTGTATGTATGCTTATGAATACAGCAAAGTAGAAAAGGCTACTTAAGGCTCAAGCTTGGTATTCTTGGTTATGTTTTGTACCTCCTCATAGGTAATCTTAAATTTCGAAAGGCCTCTAGATCACATGTTCAATACCTGAAATCTCAGATAAGAGAGACAGCCAGACAGCAACTTCAATACTGTAACAATACTGAAAATAAAACAGGCAAATCTAAAGAAGCCATGCTCTAAAACCTCGTTTATAGCAACTGAGTGGTTGCTTTTTCTCATGGAGGGAACCTCCCTGCTTCTGAAATGCTCATTATCAATGCATAACAAATGAACTCAGTAAAATGGGGTAGCATTGTTACTGCTGCACTAATGAAATAATAATCCAAAACATATTTACTATATATTTATTTGTGGCATTTACCCATACTGAGAATACAATTACAAATTAAGCAGATAATACATACTGAAAGACAACATGATTATTCAAGATACAGAGTATTATTTACAGAAATGTAGTTATTTAGACAACTAAATGTAATTCACGTATACAATTTTATATTTATCTCTTGCTGAACAATGGTACAATAACTGAAATATTCAGAAGAGGAGTATGCTCTCATTTGGTTTTAAATAAAAAAGTATTGTTTCATTAAATTCTGACTTAAGAATTCAGACCAAGATTTATTCAGATGCAATTTAGAATGGGGCCCAGCTCAGTGAAAAGCATGTCACACATCAAAACAAAGACAACAACCCTCTTAACTCAAACAAATAAACAAGAAAGAAAAATATAGATAGTACCAGAACAGAAAGATGTAGGTTACTTCTATCAATACTTTTAACTGTATAAGAAATGTTTGATGTTATTCAGCAACAATTTAGGAGCGGTTGATTAAAAAAATAAAAATCGATTCCTTAGGTTCACAGAATTCATTTTGTTTGGGATTTTCAAGGCAATGGCAACAAAGGGAATTAGATGTCTAATGGAGGAGAGAATCTCCTTTCTTTGAAAACCTCCAAATTACTATGCAATACCTTTCTACCCTTCACAGAAGATTCATATCCCTAGGTTATTTACAACAAAGGATTTCACAGCAAAGTACAGAATGGGTCAAGATTTCATTTCATACAATGTTCTTAAATATTAATATTTTAAATACTTTTATTCTGCATACTCAGAAAATAATTCATAAGCCTGTAAGTGCTGTCTGAAAACAACTGAAATGGAAAACAATTCCAGAAAGGAATTCTATTCAATCAAGTTCTCTCCACAAACATGAAAACAACAAAGTGATACAGTTCAGCCTGGTCCTTGTGGGAGGAAGAAAAAGTTATCCTTCACGACATACTTCACAACGACCTTACAGAATTATTACAAACACAGCAGAACACCCAAATTACTTTTTAATCACCCTTACAAAGAAAGGTTTGCTTAGTAACATTTTAACAAAACTGCAAAATTTTGAGCCCACGGCTGAAACAACTTTACTTCCAAAGCACAACAAACATCTTTGTTCTACAGAATTATTTCAGGCAGGTATTAACAACATTAAATTCATCTGGGGAAGATGCACTACATTGATCTAATAAGTAAAAGAGTGATCTATACATTAAAGACATAGTAAAACTTGAACTATTTCTCATTCTTTTTATAAACTAGCAGATACAAAACTATGGAGAGGCATTAAAATAACTATGGAGTTGCAGCTTATTATTATCTATATATCAGAATGTGTTATTACATTATTGAGATTTCTTGAGGAGGACCTTTAAAAGAGTATTTTTCTTCTAAGAAAAATTTCTCCTAAGAGTATCTTCTTTCTATGTGCTTCAACTGAAGCACATACAAGAAAAATCTGACAATAGATTTACCTCTCTTTATAGGGAAAATAGAACAAATTTTGTTCTGTACTAGGATATATTTTTGATACCCAGGAATTTAACATTCATTATGAAAGGTCTTTTCTAAACATAATATTTTATCAGAGAGGGTTATCTTTACATGCTGCTTGCAAGTCAAGGTAAGTCAGAGGTAGCTTAGGAATGCTTTAGAATTTAGTGTTTTATTTCGAATTAATTAATCCCTGTTTCAAAGGGGTTAATAGTAAGTACAAAAGGCAAACAGTATATACAGCTGCCACTGTCTGCACCAGGAGAATAATTCCAAGAAGCTCAAAATAAGATTAGAACGGGGGAAAGCACAGTGCACTTTTTTGCATTTGCTTCAGTGCACCAGTTCAGGCTGGTTCTCTACAAAAGGAAGCACCCCACTAACATAGTAGGCTATTCCAAGCGACAGAAGAGCAATGACAATGATGAGGAGAAGCACCCTCCAGAAGCCCAGGTCTTCCACAAACTCTTGCCACGTTGTGCGGAAACTGGAAAGAACTCCTTCACCTTGCTGCAGGTTTGGATTAAGGAGGGAATGGCTCTCCATTGCACTATGAAGGATTCAAGTTAAAAATACATCAGAGCAAAAGAATGCACCTTTAAATATGACAGTAATCCTACTAAGGGCAACTGAAACATTCTAAATTAAAAATTAAACCCACCTACAGATTTATAGCACTGCCTCTGCTAAATCAAGACAAAGCAGGCCAGGAAAACACTCTTAACTCTAAACTTAATTTAGTTGCATGGATGTTTTATTAACCTGTGCAAAGAGACTGATATCTGTATATGAACAACTGCCATGAATTTGCAGGCTTGCCACCTAGAAGCCTTCAAAAGTCAGTCCTCATAATTCCTACTAAATATGGCTTAGTAAAATATAATGAAGCATAAGCTAAAACCTCAAGGGGCCCAGCTCTTGTTAACAAAACAAATTATGACTAAAAATAAACTCCGATGAATAAAATGGAAACTTTAACCACTATTAATTTAGACGCAGAATTCTGTAGTGATCTTTACTACTCTCCTGCATGTCTTAGTTACAGAGGCCTCCTCTCTAGCATAAAAAAAAAAAATCACATAAAACAATAAATTTGGGTAACAAGAAGTTCAGAAACATTCTGAACAAGTTGGCATTGCTGTGTTTTCTGCCATATGGCTTTCAGCAACTGTCTTGATGTTTTAACATTGCACTAGCAATCCATCAGGCCCCCTTAAATTGTCAGATTATAAATTAGGGACTAGAACTTACACTTTTAAATGAGAAACAAATATAAAATTGGAACGAGGTACTCATCTTGACAATGAGTCACCTTTAGAAAATATGTAAGTTGTTCCCAATACTGTATGGCTTCTTGAATAATTCTGCCAATTTTGCTGGTTTCACAATTAGTTTATAACAGGAAACTTTCTCTGTTGCTCTCTGAAAAACCTCATGAAGAATAGAAAAACTTTCTCATTGCTTGATTGCGCTCAAAATTTCAACCATCTGCACAGTCCTACCACTTCTCACTTGAGTGAAATTACATATATGGGTGTTTACAGGATTGAGCTCTGACAAGCACGGAAAGGAAATGGTGGAATCAATTACTCAATGATGTCAGTAGAAGAACATAAGCAGAGAAAAAAAATTTTTTTCCTTGGTTCTAGCTGCTTTCAGTTACCATATTCCTAGATATATCTTACAGCACTAATAATAAAAATTAAAAAAAAAAATCAGGGGAAAATAATTTCCAAGTCAAAGCTAATTATAGAAATGCTGCTCTTCTTGGTGACAGTAATGAATTGACAAATGATCCTTATCAGAAAAAATCTCTCTTCTAAGATTACACCACGAGAAAACTTCACACTATTCATATGGTATTTTTTCTCAGGAAGTACAGCCACTAAAGAACAATTAGCCTAAACTCCCACAGCTTGCTGTAGTATTGCAGCATCATGTGCAGATTTCAGAAATTGCCTGTTAAACAGCTTGTATTTTCATTTTTTAAATATTTACAATCCTGTAAAGCTATTTTTGCTTGCCCATAGCTGCAGGATTTAGTAATCTTCCTTGCTTATTATGATTTCCCAAGCAAAACAAGGGGTTTAATAAAAGACAGCCATTGGTGTAGAAGAGAATAGAACAACTTACTCATTAAGTACTAACTAGTTAATGCATAACTACAGAGAGGTTAAATAAAGGTGCCATGCAATTTAAGTGAAAGGATCACATGCTTCTCATTAAAAGGAAAAGGGTGCCTAGAAAACATTTGTTCTATTTTATATTACGACCCAATTAAAATCTATGCTATTCAAGATATTTTTTCTTATGATGAATTGCAGCTGCATAAGAACGGGTAATGCAGCAAAGTGCCCTCAGAAGAGTTTGTGCCACACAGCCCAAACAGATGTTCTCTTCTTTTTCCAACAGGACGTGGAAGTTCACATTTGGACGCACTTGTGGGCACAGCCACAGGTCCTGCTGGGCTGTGCAGATGGACAGACCGTCTGCGCTGCGAGACAGACAGAGCAAGCTCTGCCTCTTGACAGCACAGCGCCGCTCCCCTCTGGGGGCAGGGCAAAGCCAGCGAAAACACATCTGACTCGGGAACAGAACTTTGGCCTCTGCTTCCAGAGCAGCAGCAACTGCTGCATGTAACAAGGAGCAGAAAACTAAAGTCAGAGACTGTTTTTAGAAAGAGCATTATTTCTCCACAGGTTCATACATAATGTAAAACATTTGGGGGACGGGCAGGACGGAAGACATTAGTCTAAACGTCTCTAAAATGTGAAAATAATACTAAGAGGGAGGAGTGAAACTGTGGAGGTCTGAAAAGCCAACTGTTACAAAGGCATTATTTATTTACAAAGCAAACAGCACACGAGCTCACTTGCTTTGGCTGCTGTAGGCATCTGCTATTTGTTATTTTTAAAATAATGTATTTCAGACATTTTAAACACATTCCCAAACAAGCTGGGTAGTGCACTGTTTATGCCTCTGTGTCTCTCCCCAAGGAGAGTTGCTGACTTCCTAGCCAAAGCAAACAATATAACATTTATGAAGGTCAAATAACAGAAAGGAAGCTATGTTCATTAAAGGGACACTATCCAATCAAAAATCGGAATGGAAATGGGGCTGAGCTCTTGGTCCATGTGTTTAAACAAAACCAGCATAAATCCATTTCTGTGGGACAAGCAACTTTCAATAAAATTTAGTGAAGTCAGAAAGGTATTATGCACAAATTCTTATAATTTATAACCATGTAATTTTGAGAATAAAATTAAATTTTCTATTTCAGGGCTTAAAACACTCTCTCTGATAGGTGTGGTCACCTGATGCGTAAGAAAGAGCTTCAAATCTGTTCACTGGGAGTGTTTGGCATTATTTCTGTAATTTTGTTGGCTTCACCTTTTCTCTTTAGTCAGATAACTCCATCTGCACAGCTTCATTTTCATTTACAGTACAGACTGTGTACATTTTGACATAAACTGATCAACAGTTATGTGACAAAACTATAATGTTCCAGTAGTCATAGTTCATGATCATTATTCGACAACATAAAAAACCCTCCAAATCTGAATAAATACTGTGTAAGAGCAAGTATTCCAAACAACACTGATAGCCTGTTTTCAATATGAATTAAAACTAAAACAGTATTGAAAAGATTTCTTGCATTATTAACCTCAGTTCCATGTTCTGTCATGTTTATTGGCAATTCAGTGATTTCTGCAAGAGAATTATCATCCTTTGAAACCTGCGAGGTTTCTTGCCTCATCCAAATCTACAAGAAGACTGTCTTGGAAGCTGATTGTTAAAAAACCACTCCCAATTTTCAATCACAAAAGTATCTGTGGTTTATCTGTATCCTTTGGCTCTTATGCTATCATCACCTTTTGTCTTAAACAGTTATTTTGTTCAGAACCAGTATTTCTTGTCAGCAACCACATACACCTCTCAGCGTTCACTGTGCCAGGCTAAAACAAGCTCTAGTTGCCTTCTTTCATAAGGAGATGCTCAGTTCCCTGAGTGCTTCAAGTAATGCCTCTCAATGCTTCTTGAAAGGATAAATTAAACTTTTCAAATGAGGGTAGTGTTGCTTTAAACAACAGGACTGACAGTTTTCTTCATGTAGTGAAAATATCTCATTTTGTGCCTTGTAGGACTTCACTGCATTTTTCAGGGAAGCATCAACTCCTGGAACTGACTAGTACATCAAGCCTTTTCTCCTATACCTTTGTTTTCTACTTTCCAACTTTTATTTTATGGCATCCAGCTTTTGGTAAAGTGCATTGTGTGCTACTGAATGACAATTCATTCCTGCTAATATCCTCTCCCTTGTAACCTCATGTTTTTGTCTGCGTCATCCCAATTTTCCCCTGGGTTGTCTATATCTCACGTCTTGGTATCACTAACATGCTCCTACTTTTTTATTTAGGAAAATTCTAAGTAAACACAGTCCCAGAACCAGACCTTTAAGAATTCATTAGTAACTTCCCTCTAACCCAATAATTTCCCCGAAATGGCCAGCAATTTTCCTGAGCTCTTCAGTTCTCCATCAACTATCTCTTTAGCCACCATGACATTCTTATTCTCCATCTTTTCCAGGACTACTGCTGATAAAAATTTCATATATGGCACTACATAAAATCCTTTATTCAAATTCAGATAGATGAAAAGTCTGCTACCCCTTCTTTGCAGACATTCCCTCTTAGGAAAAGTATGTCAGGTTAGCCTGTGATATTGGCATTTTGCATCTCATGCTATTTTCTCTTTGACTTTGTGAATATTTATTTTTGAGACTCTGTAATGGAAAATGAGTAATTATTTTTTAGAATTTCTATCATAAAATTAAAATCTCAATAGAAGAAGTTCTTTTTTTCCTTACATTTGATCTGTTTAAATAGATTTTTCCAAAATTTAACATTTGATTTTTATTTGGTCTGATAATATCAGGCCAAACTTCATATTATCTGTTTTGAGGAATAAACAATCAAGTCAATCACAAAAGTCTAAAATCCATAAATGCCATTTCTCCTAGTAATTATTTTTGTTTGGTAAATACCTTTCACTTTCAGCAGTCTGCATTGTTTCCAGCTTTGAATGAGCTCCTCTGTTAAAACCTTTCACCTCTTGCTCCTCTAGGGATTCCAGCAGTCTAATCACATCTTTATTCACACCCCTTCGTTTGGCAAGAACAAGTGGTGTTGCACCTTGATGGTTGCTAAAACAAGCCCACAAAAAGACATAAGGAAAGAAAATTTTAATATAGAAATTTTGTAACAAGTCAACTCAGCATAACATATTACAATTTAGTAACTATTGGAACTATTTCAGTAGTATAGTAGAATAGAATAGTAACTATTTAGAACTATTTTCTGTTGTATCAGACAGTACAAAAATCTTCTCTATACAAGTTACAGCATAATTGGCTATAGAAGAAAATCAGTATATTCAGGTTTGAAACTGCACAACTCTTTTCTCCCTCTAAGTAAAATCATCATTTGTTGGACTCTAACTGGAATCTCAGGGTGTTATAGCAAAAAATAAACAGTAGATTTACGGCAATGTTCAAGTTCAAGCCTAATTTCAAGAAAGAATTGTGCAATCTGGCTCCTCAGTTCCTTTTCCATGAGGCCATTAGGACATCAGGCAAAAATGAAATAAAATACAGATGGTCCCTCTGCTGCTATTAAAATAATACTGAATAGGACCAGAGCTGCCTTCAGACCAGGAATTTCCACCAGAGCTGTTTGAAATAAAGGGAAAAAAACCCAACCCACAACCCATAAATAATCTGGTCTACCAATAACTAGTTTTGCTGAGTTGAAAACATTAATGAGGTACAGGTGGAAAAGGGACAGATTAAAAAAACTCAAAGGTTTTTTCAAATTACTCCTGGTTTTTGCACACGTGAATATGCAGAAAGTTCCACAAACAAAGTAATTCAGTACAGGAATGAAACAGCTAGTTATTTTGCAGCTTGAGAGCTTACATCTGAGTACTGGCATCTGACAGCTGCTGGGAGCCAGAAGGAAAGAATATACAATATTTGAAAGAAGGACTGAGTCATAGACTTTGAGGGAGGGCGAAAACATTGAAAGAAAGCATTGTTACCAGAGGAGTATGGGAATGAACTGACACACACATATACTGTATTTTCTTTGTCTTAGCCAGTACAACAATAGAACTGTAGTGGAGAAAATTCTTTTAGAGTGGTCAATGTGATTTTTTTCGTTGGTGCCAACCACCCACACCTGGCTGTCTGGCCAAACTAAGGCAGCAATGCATCAATGAGGCAGGATTAGATACAGCAGCCCACACCAGTAGCTGCTATTTTTATTTGCTTTGCTTGTTGCACAGACTAGCAAAAGTGCCCTCATTGTTTTCCTGTCTTCTTAGTTTGTGTTTTTATTAAGTGGTATCTTTAAAAAGTGGAATTGCACCAAATACACCATTTCAGCAACAGCAGATTTATATGCAAGGCTGTGGTGACAGAAGACTAATATATTATATATATATGTGCTGTAAAAAATTACTTACCAAATATCAATTTTAAGTCCATTAGAAACTAGGAACTGGATGGTATCGACATGCCCACACAGGTGAAGAGCTGTGTTACCTTGGTAATCAGTGGCTAGTAGGTCAGCACCAAATTTGTGCAGGAGCTGACAGATGTCTACATTTCCTCTGGCTGCAGCAAGGTGAAGGCCAGTTCGGCCTCGGCTGTCACGAATATTTGGGTCGAAACCGCTCTCTAGCAGTCGTTTGGAATAGTTAAAGTCTCCATCAATACAAGCCTGCAGCAGCGGCACATTTGTCTGGGAGGAGTCATTTACAAAAACGTAGGACATTGTTCTAAATCCCTCCAGAGGAGGTGACCAACCTGCAAATTTAAGCGGGAAGAAACGATGGTGAAACCAGGCAAATAAACACAATGCAAATATGCAGAATGCTCAGGTCCCAAAACAAGAATGCAAACTAGCTTACAAGCCAACTCTGAAATTTTCCTGTCATACACACTGACTTTGTGTGCTGCATTCCCTTCTAGTAATACGGTAAAAGCCTCATTTAGTCTTACTCACACCTCTGGAAACAGCAGCAAAGCTTTCGTTATTATAGAAAACTGGTAAGATCACTGTCACAAATGCGAGACAGGTGATTAGCATTCACCTACTAAGCAATCACATGTAGTGGTATTGATATTAAAGTGCAAAACACTGCAGATCAGGACAGAAAGGAAGAACCTGTCACAAATGGGGAAACTGTAAACAATTCAGTTCACATGTACAGTGATGCTAACTGCAATTTTTACCAGCTTATAAGCAAAACTACTCCAGTGGGATTTTTACCATCTGAATTTGAACTTCAATGCACAAAGTACAGTCAGTTGCTAAAAATGCTAGATTAATGTACACACTAATTCCTTCATTCTGCGAGAAATACATTTTTCCATACTCTTTGCAGAACATTATTTTTACAGTGCCACAGATATACAAACTACTGAACAAACAAGAATAGCAATACAGACCACAGAAAACTGAATGCATTAGGTGAAACTGCCCACTTGAAAGTGAAAACTGGAAGTGGGTACAAGGAAGACAATGGTAAAATTAAGTACAGAGCTGCTGTGGATTCGACTAGAACCTCAATACGGAGAAGCACAATTGAAATTTCTCTGGCTTAATATTAAACAAAGGATTAAGTCCTTTTCTGTATCAGGACCTAAAAGAGGAAAATAAATGTTTCACCATAGATTACTTGATATAGAATATTTAATGAACTATGATTTAAGTTTTGCAGAAGAATATTCATGGATGAGTCAAATAATGAGGGTATGATGACACTATGTGCTTATCAGACACAGAAAAGATTACTTGAAAACAGTAAGGAAAAAAGAGAATGACTGAGCAAGAGAATGGTAGAATGTGTATGAGGCAATGCTAAGAAGGAATGATAACATCTAGGAGACTGGACAACAGCCCTCTCTTTGCACTGCCTTGGAGAAGAGGTAGAAAAGAAAAAATAATATAAACCAGTACAATTCCATACAAGAAATCTCAATACAGACATGACACAATTCAAGTGACAGGAGGGAAAAGTGATTTTACTAGATAAGCTTTGAACATAAAGTAAACCGAAACCTCACTTGAAACAGTATTTTTCACTTGCCCAGAGTTTCTATTTTGGGCTCATGGTGTAACAGGGTTCTAATTAATATTTGAACCTCTTATTAAAACTGCTATAGCCAGATTTAAATTTTCTCATCTATATAAGGTATCCTTCCACACTAGTGCATCCATTCAGCCAGGAGAATGGAAATATGGCCAGTAGCCAAAGAACTCAATTTAAAACATCTCCTTTTCTGAGAGTTCATAATGTCTACATTTTATAGCTCTTCCCCCATGTTTTAGATCAAATTCAAGATCAAAGTATCTACATAAGTAATTTCAAAATGTTTATGCACTGGTCTGATTAAGAGCTGTAGCACTTGGGGCTGTTGAGGTTAATAAATCATATTTAAACTTCACTAGGTTGTATTTACTATCTGGACAAATTCTGCTACATGTATCAACACTGTTTCCCAGTGCAGGAATGCACAACTTTTTTTTTTCTTTCTTGGACGCTGAAGAGAAAGAGATAGGAATAAATTCTATGTCCTGGTATCTGTATAAGGAATGATTTTAAGCAGAGTACATTCCCCTACACTGCAAGTATGTTTTCAAGCACATGATGGTAAATCACTGGCTCAAGAACCCTTTTCCATAACCATTTCCAATAGCAAAAGGCCAGTTCACTGATACACAGCAAAACTTTGTGCAAGACTGATGTCATTTAGGGCACTAACAGCTTCCTTATGACTTGATACAACAAGAAAGGACAATGCAATTACTTGCATTTCAATGAATATGTTACACCCCCCTGGATGTTGCAAAGCTAGGATTCCCAGCTGACAGCAAGTTCAATTTTCTTGCCCATTTCCCACCCAAATCACAAATACGAGAATCCTTCTTCCACTCCGCTACTCCAATCTTCACTGAGAAAAACAGTGGGACCACTTTCTGTATGATGTGATTGTGACCTCTGCACTAAATCTTCCCTAAAGCAAGATCATAAATCATTTTAAAACCTCCAGTTATCAGCCATAGTAACAGCATATCAACAGCACAAACCCCTACTTGTACTTGACAAAAAGATTGTGATTCGCTTGTAAAATAATACTTGAGTGTTTAAACCTGTTTAATAAAACAAGGCCTAACATAAATCAACATGAGAATATTATACTGGAAGAGACTCAGGCTATTTGAGAAATGGCATGGCATGCTCTGTTAAATGTAAGCTAATGTTTATATTTTCATACCAGACGTGTATGTCCGGTAAAGCCTTACAGAATTCCCCAGCTGTGATGAAACATTAGCTAATAATACCAGGGAAAAAAGTCACCTCCTTATCTTCTCAGAAAAGGAAGCCCAAAGATTAGCAGTTAACAGAATGTGTGACTGGAAGTAATTCTGATTTAAAATTTATTATCACTAGAATCTTCTAGAATCAATGACTCATGTGTAGAAGACTAAAGTAAAACCTTAGTATTTCACAGTAAGAAAGACAAAAAACCCTAGCAAATCCAAATCTTTCTTCCCAACACTCGAAGATTGTGGACTAAGCACACATTCACCAGAAAAAAAAAAAAAAGGTGGAGGGGAAAATAAGACAATCTGGATCATCTGGTTTGATTTAGCTTTGTGATTAAAAAGATTTTTTCTACAAACACAATTCTATTTCACATATGGCTACCTAACCTACGCCAGATATGAGCTGCATACAAAGCTCAACTATGCAGCATCTTTAAAATGTCAGCCCCCAAATGACGTGTTCTTGTCTCAAATTTAACCCAACTTAGTAAAATTTCCTGTCTAATAAAACTCTTAAAAAAATTGCGATAGTCAACTTCATTAAATATTTTTGAATAAACAAAAGGTGGTTACATTTCTGACCACATTATGTATCAAAAAGCTTACTGCTTCAATAAGTATCTAATGCTGCAGATTGAGAAACAAAATTTAGAAACACAATGGCATTAGCCATTCTCTTTAAATCGTTTTTGAAAGTGAATCGGTTAAAAACTCTGAACCTGTCTCAAAGCTGGTACACCTACCATTAAGCACTGATTTTACAGGCACAAATTAGGATAAATGGACTTGTATTAGTAACAAGACACAAAATATTGCAAAATGAACATCTCTAAAAACTAGTACTACTAAGAGTTAAATAAATCTAGTTTCTAAAAACTGAAATAAATTACTGCTTCTAAAAATGCATCACTATCTGAAAATGTATCTGTTAAATAATAATTTTGTTTTTAAAAAAAAAGTTTTGTTGTTAATAACTTGGTACTTTGATAGAAAATTATTTTGCGAAAAAAAAAAGTAAATTCAAAGACATTCTCCCAAGCTAGAAAGATTCCCATCAGAAAGGCATACTATGAGAATACATTTTCCCTAGACTTACACAACATTTATATGGCCTCAACACTGTGTATTACTTTTTAAGTAACAATTTTAGAAATTATGCTGTAAGCCACTTCTTCAATTACACATTTGGGCTAGTACAGGATAAGAAAACTTAACCAAACTGGTTTGTTTTCAAAAGGAATGCTTATATTAAGTGATTCTGTAAGAATAATTGACTTTTATTTACTAGGAGTCAATTGTCTCTCACTACACTGTGCACAATGGTAATTCAGTGTCACACAGTGATCTGTTGTAGGACATGTTCACGCCTGCTAAATGCAAATTCTGTCACTTCTTAAACTAGGCTGAAATTTGTACTAATCATGGACAGTTTTATTTTACAATAAATACATGCTGCTGTCTCTGCCTTCTCATTAAATTCAACAGCTACCAAAAAGCTCCAGAAACAGGAGAGAACAGCTTGACTGTGAGACAGAATCACTAATGGGACCCATCCCTCCACTACAAAAACATTAATAAACCTGCCAAGTTGTGATTAATCACCCAGTCACTGCTACATAGCATACACCAGTTCTGCAAAACTACAGTATTTCCCAGAACATTCAGAGAAACTGAAGTAATTGTCCCTATTTCAAAACAGCACGTCAGGACAACAGGACAATACCAGATTGCTCAATCATTGAGACTTCTCAATATTAATACACACTTTGACATGTAAAACCTAAGCATCAGTAAGACTACCACTAGAGAAGTTGCCACCACCAAGAAATGGAAACTAAACCAAAACCAGTAAAAAGTACCATCTCCCATCCCATGCCACCAAAAAAACCCAATATGTGTTACTTGCAAAATTTGCATTTGTCAACTCAATAGTGGCAAACAGTTTCCTCTTTCTGTAATGAACTTGGAGAGCACTTCAGTGGCCTGCAGAGCTCTTCCTCTTCAGTATTTAAATGAATGAAAAACATTCCAATACTGCTGTTTTCATGCACACATGTATTTACGTGTAAGTCACTGAGAAGTCATTTAACTGAATAAATGTTACATTTAGTAAAAAATTATGTGATCAGCTCATTTCTGTTTAAGAAAGAACCCCATTACCTAAATCAAGTTCCACTGAGATTTCTGTATCTTCTATTGGAAACCTTTACCTATTCAGTCCAATTGGAACAAAGTTTTATGACTCCACTAATACGGATCTGCTGCTAAAAGCAGGAGCTCAGATTCAACACAGCATGATGTCTGCTTTACATACATTTATGTTTTGCAGCATTTTCCCTTTCTAACTTTAGGATTTTTTTCCAACAGTTCCTGGATTTAAGGATCACAGCAGGCTCGTAACACCCACATCCCCTCTCATGTCTCTAGTCAGACACCTGGGTATGTGGTAATAGAAGAACATTTTTTATGTCATTTGTCTTTTGAATCATTCCCATTCCCTTATACAGACATGAGACATACAGGTATATTCTCTTGATTGGCAGGGCCATCCTGTAAGTAGAAACTTAAGTGCACTGCATATACAAAGGGCTTTACACATATGGTCTACGAAGTGCTTTATGAAAAGGTTTCAACAACTATTGCTGCTCTTTTATGGATCAGCAAATGATAGCATTGGGAAATAGGGATCTTTGTTCATCATTGTACAGTATGTCAACAGTACAAGATAAAAAATATACAAGATTTCAAATGCCAATCCAGAGTTGCAGAATGCTTTCCCAGATAAAACAGTACAAGCTTTGTGTATTTATGTACACAAAATACAGGAACAATACGAAATAAATTATCTTTTAAAACACTTCTATCAACAAGGAGATTCCAAATATTTTATCCTTGCTTATCCTATACTTAACTGGTAATTCAGTTGCATTACATCTTCCAGTGCACTTAACTTCTATCAAATATATAGCTCAGTATTTTTTAACATTCCTCATTTTTCATCTTCTGCATAAGAACTACTTAGGAAGAAAGGTAATTTACAGATTTCTTCAAATCATCTGTAACTTAAATTCTCCACAACTGGCTCAGGTAAATCAGTAAATAACTGCAGTACTTCTCTGATCATTGTGCTCAGCTTGAATACATCTGTTTTTATAGAAAGTTATTGAATCACATTGGTCATAATTATCAACCTTTTCACAAACCTTCATTCAAATTCCTTCTCTGTGCCTGCTGGGAATATGTGGGGTATATGTTGATCAAGAAGATATTAAAGGTCTTTGCATATTGTTTTGTTATTGGTTCATTTGTTTGGGTTTTAACAGACTAGAGAGAATTTGTTCCACTCCTAATTAAGTGTTTGTGTTTAAATTTGCTGCAGAGTCGAAGCAGTCCTCTGGAAAAAAAGACAACAGTAAATGAGCAACAAAGGATCGCTCCTGGCGGTGCTCACAGGCTGCCAAGGGAGGTACAGCACTCCTGTCTGGATGGACACTGCCACCACGTGGACCGACACATTTCTGTCCCACTGGAGTGAATCATTGAATCATAGAATGGTTTGAGTTGCAAGGGACCTTAAAGGTCATCTGGTCCAACACCCCTGCCACGAGCAGGGACACCTTCCACCAGACCAGGGTGCTCAAAGCCCCACCCAACCTGGCCTTGCCTTGAACACTGCCAGGGATGGGGCATCCACGGATTCTCTGGGCTACTTATTCCAGTTATTCACCACCCTCACAGGAAAGAATTTAATTCTTATGTCCATCTAAACCTGCTCTGTTTCAGTTTAAAACCATTGCCCCTTGTCTTATCACTTCATGCCCTTGTAAAATGCCCCTCTCCAGCCTTCTCGCGGGCTCCCTTTAGGTACTGGTGTGGTGCATAAGCCTGGAGGCACATAGAGCACCTTTTCTACATTTGTGGTGTTTTCTATTTTCCTGAGAAGGAAATGATGAAAAGCATGAAAATAAGATTTTATAAAATTTGATTAAAAAGCATTCTGCAATCCAAAGTGCTATTCCAAATCTCATTCAAGCTCTAGTTCTGTATTAGTGAAATGAAGACTTTGGTATATGAGTTCTGAAGACAAAGATATTTAATTTTAAAAAGTATGCATTTATGCCTGTTCTTAAAAAACACCCAAAACTAAATCCAAAACACTTGTCCCCCTACCCACACACAAAAGGCCCAGTCCTTACCTAGGGAAATAGTAAGTCTGAGATGACAAGTCTACGAACATGGGAAAAACTTTCTGTGTGTAGCTGGAATCATCAGAAGTCAGAACTTAATAAGAACAATAAAGTAAATTAAGAACCTGTCACCAAATGACTTATTACTATACAGTTTGTATTGTCTTAATATTTTTCTTACAATGTGTATAATTGCTTATATGCTCTTGGTCATATATAACCTTGATGACACAGCCTTGGTGTGCAACATCAAATCCAGCTTAGTGGCTAGTGAACGGAAGCAGGTCACTTTAAAAAGCAGATGTCTCCTAAATTTATAGATAGCTGTATGTTGACTTTACCTTTAAAACAACACATTGTTTATTAAACAAATTATCTATTTATTATTTATGTATTTGTTATTGTTTGTTAAAATTCATTATTTTATATAAACAAATAATACCAATGACAAGACAATTAACGCTGTCAGATACACAACTCTTACTATGACTGCTGCTACAGATATTTCTGCTCAGAATTTTCATGTTCACACAGTAAATCATTAAACCAGTTAGTCAAAGACAAATAGTTAGCTGATATATTTGCTGTTTCAAATAATCTTTCTAAATCTTTATCAACACAGTATGACTTTAAAAACTTAATCGTATCATACTGGATCACGTTATGTGACATAGCAAGATGAAATGGTAATATTTTTAAGGTTGTATTTCTAATTAATATACACATATTGATGCTATTTTTGCATAAATAGTTACTTCACCACGCTTAGGCTCAAAAATTTCTCCAGGTAGGCAAACCTGTAGTAATAGTGTCTGCCCAACACAGTATCTTAAGGGACCAAAGGGGCCAGCAGCCTATGGGTTCCCAGGACAACAGGCAAGTCTGAGGAGAATCAGGGAGGCCACCCTCAAGCTCCTGATCTGCAGAGGCTGGAATTGACCAAAACTGTAATGGAAGATGATGGAAAAGAACCTGAGAGCAAAGTAGCTCAACTGATGTTTGCCAATTGCATCAATGGATCCTACTGAGCCTGGAAACAAAAGACATCACTCGTACAGGGAAAACTTCCACCTTCAGATAACTTAGCAAAAGCCACTAACTTATCTATAAAAGACTCAATATTCAAGATGAAACCTGCTGCAGTCCAAAATTCGGATACCAACAGAAAAGGAACTGCTAGGATTAAACAGGAAACCTTGGGCCACAGGGGCTGGGGAAAAACCCACCATCTAAAAGACCAGTCAAGATCCATTGACCTGCCTCCCCCAGCAGGACGTAGAGAGACTTTGCATGATGCTATCAGATATGCCATTGTTTTCTCCCTCCCTGTGTAAATCCATATTTCAGGAAAAGCTGACCACCCTTCCCCAGTATAATCTTGCTTACTGGAAATATCAAATCCTTTTCCCCCCAAATATAAATATGGGATCCAAGAAATGTAAATCTCTTTTTTCCCTTATGTCACCCCCTGCTACTGGAAATGCTAATAGACTGTGGAATCCCCTATGTGACATAACCTTGCCTCCTTATTAGCATGTTAAGCCCCCGAGACCCTTAAATAGTGGTTTGTGTGTTCAATAAAGGTATTCCAGTTTTTACCCCCATATCTGGGATCGTGTTAGCTTTATTGGACTGTTACAGAAACCCAATGTCTAGTCAATAAATGGCAATACCCATGTTTCTTTAAAAAGGTTTTACAAGTTCTGTTTGAGAAAGGATGAAGAAAAATTGTGCAAAAGAAAAGTCCATGTCAATTATTACTCCTCTGAATAGGAAGCTAACATAAAAGCAGCCACAGCAGATCAGAGCAAAGGTCCATTTGAGCCTAATATAATTTTTCAAATAGTGGCCAAAAGCAAAGGCCAGGAAAACACATAGAATAGAGCAAGCATATATAATACTGCTTTTTCTATTCAAAATGGGTAGGGTTTCTACTCCCCCTCCACCTCTGAATCTGCCCTTTCTCCACATCAACATATATACTTCTAATATCCACAACATAGTCTGGTAAGTTCATCAACTCAGTTACCTGTGAAAAACAACAGCTTTTGATCTTTCTGAATCAGGGCCTTGTTAGCTTCACCTGTGGACCACCAGATCTCCTGCAGGAAAAAGGGACAGTGGACCCCTACCCATTCTTTTCATGCCACTCAAGATTCTACAGGCCTTCATCTTATCATCCTCAGACATCCCTTTCTAGGATGAATTTTCAAGTCCCAGCTTGCTTGGTCATTCCTCATTTGGAAGGGGGTCTATGTCTATGATCATTCTTGCTTTGATTCTCTGAATATCACTCATTTCTACTACATGTTGTCTGAGCTGCGAGTCAGACCAGGGATGACTCGACCAGAGTGTTCAAGGTGAACTCTACCTACGCTGAATTCATGTGCTATTATGTTATATTACCCAGCTACTCAGTCTTACAGGGTCCTTCTGCAGCTTTTCATAGCTGACCCATGTCATTGGCAAATACTATCACCTTGTTGCTCACTGCTTTTTCTAGGTTGTTCATGGAAATTCTAACAGTTCAAAATCCAGAACTGAACCCCACAGAACTAAAATTATTCCACGAAAAAGACTGATCATAAGTTCACTAAAACTGCTGTCCTGGATCAGATCGATCCCTCTTGCCCAGCACTTTGCTTTCAACAGTGGCCATCAGTGGCCTTCTTTGGGAGAGCACATGAGCCTGGCTGCTTCCTGCAGTTCATTCCCCAAACACACCCCAGCAGCCACCACAGCCCCTCAACAGTCTTACTGTCCACCTTCTAATCCCTTCCTGAGCCTGCCCACATTCCACCTCCACAGCTGCCCATGTCATCTTTCCCTATATCCATCTGAAACCACCCTCCCACCTGCCCCAGCAAGCAACTCCAATTCCAGGGCTGCAAGACTGGATGAATAACTCTCACTTTATCCATTGCCTTCATTTCATAAGTCTTGGTCATGCCCCAGACATCTCCTCTGTGAACAATACTGACTTTACAGTCTCTCCTGTTAAGGAAGCTGATCTCCTTGTCCCTTTCCGTTGCCTTCCTCTAACTCGCTGTATCCTTCTTCCGATGCAGAGACCAGAACCATGCACACTATCCCAGATGTCGGTGCACCAAGCTGGAGCAGCAAAATGGTGCCAGATGACAGCAAAATGGTTTCATCTGTCTTCTTCTCACTTGTGCCACCTTTCTGTCCCCTTCTCTTTTTTGGAAATTTCTTTTTGCCTTCTTTTTAACTTTTCAACCCAGCTATTTCTGCAACTAAGAAACCTCCTAGATGCTATAAGCATCAAGTCTCCTCAAAAGCCTTTGGTAGGATCCTTTTTTCTGATGCTTCCCGAAAATCCACATCAGCTGTAACTACAATCCTGTGCAGCAATCCTCTGAAGATGTACTCAAACTCAGGCAGAACCAGTCCCTAACATACTAACACATAGCACAGGCAGGCAAACACTTCTCTGAACGAAAAAGTTGAGATGAAGAAGTCAGACAAGCATTCTACACAATCCATGGGAAACCCATACACCAGAGGCCTTTCCTGAAATGTGCTGCTGCCCTTTTTCTGTTACCATCCATTACTGCTGGTCGGACACTAATAAGAGGTCTTGAGCACGATGAAGAATATAACCCCATCAACAAACGTTGCAGGATTTATGTCTTTGACTTTATGTCATAAAATTCCGCTGATGTAGCTGCACTACTTGGATGCGAGAAACCTGCTGAGTGACAAAACTGGGGTTTAAGCAGCTCTGTTCCACTCAGCCAATTGAAATTTTACTGAGGAGTAAAAGAAAGACATGCCACTGGGAAAAGTGGTGTTGACACATGAATCAAAGCCAGAAGCTAAGTTCTGTAACAGATATGGCTTCAGTGAGGTGCTGAGCAAGGTAAAACTTCTTTCCACATATTTATTAAGAATCACTTTAAATAGCAAAGCAAACCTCAACAAAACCGACCATTTCAGTATTTGTGCTCTTGACTTAGATGAAGACAGAATCACAATAAATACTGACAATTGAACTTTAGTGGAACAAGCCCATGCACCCAAGACATGCCTGTCATCTACTCCAACAGCATTCTGTGGATGGTCTCTGGAGAAAGTTGAATGCATCACGAATCATGTATTTCACGTAATGTGTATAAACCAATGCCTTCTAAAATATTTTATCTGCTTATTAATTGACCTACCTGGAAGCAGAACATGCACAGCTGAGATCACGTGGGAGGCAATCAACTGACATTCTGATCAAAAGACAATAGCAGTAGCCCCAAAATACCCATATCCAGGACACTCAAATCCCTAGAAAAGTCACTAGTAGTTCACTCCTTGGATGAGCAGGTATCTCTGGTCCTGCGCTGTAGATGAGGACTTCAAGGCCACACATGTTCTGACATTAAGTGCACGAGAATATGAGGTGGGATAATATAGTCAACTTAAAGCACTGCTTCAAACCCCTCGCTCTTGCGGATGAGACAATTCTAACTAAAGGATACAAATCTGATGAGAGGAAATCTGTCACTGATTACAGATAGAACAGATTTTTATAGTGCCCTCTTGCAGAGGCAAACTCACATTGCTCTGGTAAGAAGACAGATGTACATACTACACTTCAGCCCTCAACTCAGCTTACTCTTCACATCTTCTCTTCCACTCAAAAAGAGAGCAATTAGGCAGCATAATTTTCTGACTGTCACCAACCCTACTATTTGACTGCAAACATTACTTAAAATATTTTTCTTCTAAAAAACATATTTAACAAGTTCTTGCTAATAATCTATTTCACAAATGAACAAAAGGAAAACTGATCTATAGTCTACAGGTAACATTAAGCTTAGAACTCTGCTGCAGCAAACAAAATCATTACTTGAATACATCAGTCACATTCTATCTAAAAAGTGCTGGGCTTTTGCTCTTCCTTGACCTTTTGGAAGGCTGCTCTTGAACATCAGTGCTCTCTGATAGTTAGAAATTTTCATATATTATTAATCTTAAAATCTGTGTTAAATTATTCATGTATCAACATAATTCTTTACCTCAATTTATTCCCTTCTCAGTGTTTACCTTGATGGGTTTGATAGAGAGCAAAAAAGGCCTTTATTTGACAAAATCAAAAAAGTCAAATACTTCTTCCAACAGACTCTTAATTTCCCTACCTGTCCAAGGCACATCTTCCTGCACCTGTTCTACTTTACTTTTTTACCTGAGAATGATTAACGTTATATAAAGTATTCTAGAGTTCTGTTCGTGGGCAATAATAACTTCTTTTACTGGATCACTGTAGTCAGCATCTACCTTTTCCACATCGCATATCTTGTAACTACCTAACACATACTCTGGTTTTGTGTTGCTTTCAACCGGTAAGAATTTCTTCTGTATATTGTTTCCTTACAAGGTTACAACTGTAAACCCTTGTTCTTTAAATTGTTACAGTACTTATTTCATATTCTAGTTCTCAGGATCACCCCATTCTTTCTGTGTAGTCCCATAACCCTCTTCTATATTGCCAGTGCTTCCCAATTCTTCATCACTGCCAAATGAAGACAGTAAAGTTTTAATTGCTACCTCAAGATCTCTATGAAATATTTAATAAGATTGGTCTCAAGACAGATCTTCAAAGAACTAATTTTATACTCTTTGATATTCAGATTTGATGGATTTTCCATTCAACATTACTCACCGTAGTTTGTCTCCAGTTACTTCCCCATCCTCTTTACAATTCGGGTGTTAACCCTACCTTTTCAGCACAGTAACAATGTGCAGCGGCCTTAGTCATCTAGAAAAAAACGGGAACTACTCCATTTCCCTTAAAAACAGTAACTGCTTTATCAAAGACAGTTTTGAGGATAGGTTGAAATACGTATTTTAGTTTCACTTACCTTCGTTGTTTTCACCTAGAAAGCGCGTTCCAAAGCCGCACACTTACCAACGTCCTGTCAGGAGGGAGGACGCGTTCCCGTTCCCGTGCCCGTTCCCCTCCCTTCCCGTTCTGAAGGCTGGCACTGCTCCCGCTGTTCTCCCACCAAACCTCTTCCCACCAAACCGCATCACTGCGCTCCACCTCCACGGCTCCCGGGCCAGGCACTGCCGAGGGCCCGTCCCCGGGTCCCTTCCCGGGCCTGGCACACCTCTGGGTTGGGCGAAAGCGCCCTGCCCTGCTCTCCCAGCCCCCCGGCCCTGCCCTCCCGGCCCGTCCCAGCCCCGCTCCCGCCGTACCTGCCCGGGCTCTCTGGGCGCTCGGGGCCGGAACGGGCGGGCGGACGGGCCGGGGGGGGCGGAACGGGCGCCCCCTCCTGGGCGGAGGCCGCCGCCGCCGGGCGGGCCCCGCACCGTCCGTCCCTCACAGCGCAGCTCCGCCGAGCCAGGGAAGCGGTGCCGGCCCGCTGGGAGGCAGGGAATCAGGAACAGTGCGGCCAGCAGCACCAGGACAGTGATCATCCCCCTGTGCCCGGCACCGGCGAGGCCGCACCTCGAGTCCCGTGTCCAGTTCTGGGCCCCTCACTGCAGGAAGGACATTGAGGTGCCGGAGTGGATCCAGAGAAGGGCAAGGGAGCTGGTGAAGGGTCTGGAGCACCAGTCATGAGGAGCGGCTTAGGGAGCTGGGGGTGTTCAGCCTGGAGAGGAGGAGGCTCAGGGGTGACCTTATTGCTCTCTACAACTCCCTGAAAGGAGGTTTTGGGAGGGGGTTGCCTTTTAATTCAATTCTTCAGCAATGGGTTTATTATTTCCAGACAATTCATTTTGAAAGACAGTATCTAAAACAAATTATCACAGGTCTTCTTCTTTTATTTTCCCAAATACACAGTCTCCTTCATTTGGCCTAACCAAAAATCTTTTCCTTGATATAAAACCCGAATGAACTACCTACAGTGAAACGAATAAACAGTTAGAAGAGCATATGCATGTCAATAATTATGGGTAGATACAAACATAAGCTAGAAAATCTCACTGCTCAGGTGATCTCCGAGATATTTCAGGTTGATCTCTTTGAGATATTTCAGAGACAATTAATTTTTTTTTTTTTCTGTCCTGGGACAGGACACAAGAGCAGTTGTTGCTACTCTAAGGCTTATTGCAATGTACTAGGTAGGGTGCAGATGGAACAGCAGTTCCAGATATACCAACATCCATGTTATTTGGCATTATGGTGGCCACGAGGACATATGTATAGGAACTTTAGTTGCCTACTAGGCCTTCTGAATTAGATTGCATACTGTTAGTCACACATTCTTAACTTTAAGCATAACACCTGTATCAGTGTTTCCTTTCAATTCTACTTTTCCTAAAAGTTACCATGTACTGTCTGAAGCTTCCTAATACCGTATCACCCAGCAGGTATAAGCAGACAAACTACGCAGTTCCATTGCATGTATCTGCAGTTTTCTGTTTTATAAGGAAAATTTGTAGCACAGGTTTTTCTTCGTGATACATGTTTGCAAAGTAAATGTCCTGAAAAACCCTACTGAAAGTGTCTATTGTGAAGCTATGGCAACCGTGCTGCAATAACTGACATCAAGGAAGCTGAAACTGAGTTTTGCATGCATTATCTCTGTATAAGTTATTTCATGCCTTTTTCAAGATTTCTAAAAGACAGAACAGCAGAATTGCCTAGATGCAGGCACATTCTGCATCACAGCCTCACTATCTGTGAACTCCACCTTCTGCTTCTTCATTTTCCCACTAAATCTTACTGCTGTACTAGGTTGTCTATTCAGACAAGAATTTTCAGGTTGTTATGCTGATCCAGTAGTAACAGTGTACTCCTGTAGGACCACAAAGAAAATAAAAGTTAAGCTCTTCTTCTCATGAGTCAGCAGAAAATATTTGGTATAAGTTTTCAGAGTCTTTGGACAGCATCAGTTAAACTTTCTGACAACTCAGAGCAAAGGTTTGTAAGACTCTTGCAGATGCTAATGGCAAAATTATAACAACTCAACTCAAAAACACTTTTTAAAATGAGAATGTACAAAAGAAACTTAATACATTTTCCAAGCATCTTGCAAAGAAAAATAGAGGAATAGCAAAACAAAACCTTACGAACACTAATACTGCAATCACAACATTTAGAATTTAGCTAAGCCTGGTTTAAGATTTTATATTAATTCTCTAATAACACAGCTTGGTGCACAAAGACCTAAACCACTTCAAATTTGCTGTATAAAATGAAGTATAGCATTCCATACTATCACTGTTTAACACAACAGCACACCTTGCCTTACTTTCACACCTCCTTCTTAATTCTCAACTGCAATTTTCTTAGTTCACTGAGTTTTGTATCAGCAGCCAGACATGGCTGATAAGATCAGTGGCTTTATGTTGCCCTGCCAAGGCTGCTTTTCTCGCAAAAAAAATATTTCAAGTATGTTCAGGTCAGAGCAATTGCCTCAAGGCCAGGGTATTGTGCAACTTAGTCCTTGCTAAAGCTTCACCTTAGCGAAGACACTGAACCACATCCTTCAGTCTCCATCCCAGACGCAAGTCTAGTCAGAAAATGTTGTCTCCCTTAAGACATTTGCAAGTTATTTGTGGATGCTGAAGGCCATACTGAACCTAGGATCTCCAGCAGCGGCAAGTGCAGAGCACTTCAAAGAAAGGGGCAGGAGAACCCAGCCCTAATGTTAATCCATTTGCTTATTGAAGAGCAGTTAGTGTCTGGTTTTATGCTTTCTGAGGGTACGGCAACATCACCTTTTTTTCTCAATTCAGATTAAATTTTGGGTTTCTCTTTTAGAAATATTTCTCCTTTGGCCAATCACACACTGTAATAGAAATATTTATTTTAATTCACTCTACATTATTGCCTTTCATTTAGCAAATGACTTGAAAAAGCAACATCTTCTAGTCATTTAGCTATTCAAGAACTGTTAGCAATGAATACAGATACCAGCAAATGAACTTGGAATTGCATCTTTTATGTGATGGGAATGTCTATGTATGGATATGTAACATGTTAAATTTTGCAAATGGCTGCAATTCCCAACTAGAGGGGAAAATAAATGCATAAAAAATTCTAGTGTGGAATATAAGTACAAGTCTGTAAAACACACCAGCAGCTGCATGTGCACTTGACCTCTGTATATATTCTGTCTTTCTGCAAATTTCAAATATGTTATTCAGAAACACTTGGAATAAGAAGTAAAATTAAATAAGTTGTTGTTAAACCCATCAAGCTAAAATAAAATTTTTATTTAGACATGTTTCTTGTCCTCTTTTTCTTCCCAAAATTCAAGTTTAGCTCCTTTTTCCACCCAAGGAAGTTCTCATTAAATTTTTTAGGAGTTTCCCTAACCAGAAAAACAGATGTTGGCCTAAACAAGAATAGCAAGCATTAACACACCGTATTTACATTTTGGAGACAATTTCTCACTAACCTGCTTTTGTTGGGTGCTGGATTTCTTATTTCTATTTTTCATTGATTCAGGCATCTTGATCTTCTAAACAGATTGAGAAATGTAAACTTAGAATAAGCTGAAATGCTACCCCAAGTACTGCCACAAAATATGCTGAGCAAATCAGCATTCAGTCACACCCAGAAGCAACAGTGCAGGAAATGAACTGGGCCTAGAAGATCACACATTTTCCTTACCTTTTTTTCTCTTCAGAACTTTCCAGTTGGCAGATAAAATCTCTAGATATCACAAGATTAAACAAAGACATTACAAATACTGGGAATTATTTTAAAAAATAACAAGTATCTAAACATGTATTTCCATCCTGAAAGGCCCACACAAAAGGCAGAAGTATTTTAGCTACAAATTAGATTTTTACTTTATTAACACTTCTATTTAAAACAGTTTCCCTGTGTGAACATCACGGATTTCAGTTTGGTCTAACATTGCAACAGATGGAGCAAGCAAGTGAAGTGGGGAAAAAGTGAAAGCCAGAAATGGATACAAGGTAGTGCAGATCACACAAAAAATTGTGCCATCAACATCCTTTATCATTTTCAATAAAAATTAAAGTCAAGGAGAGAGAATGTAAAACATATTATTAAAACTGTGATGAGAAACCGTCTTTAACATTCAGAACATTATTTCAGTAAAACTGAGAAAAGATCTGCTTTTTAGTCAATTAATTCTGTACTGAAATTTTGGAACACGCAAGATGCTTTTCCTCAATGGTTCTTCCCTAGCACAGTTGTAACAGTGATAGAGTAGCATGCTTATTTCTTTTTAAATACAGATTCCTACACCAACACACACACATGCTTACCATTTCTTGGCCTTTGTCTGCCTTCATCATCTGTTCTGATACCATTTTCTTCAAGTGGCTACTGAGCACAAAGGGCTGAAGAGGATAAACCAGAGAACATTCTGATTCCTTCTATTAAAAGATATAGTTGACTCTTCCATTCCTTCTCCACAGAAAATTACAGTTCCTAACTATTGAACTATCACTTCTCTGACACAGTTAATTTTACTCTGTGCTTGACAATGCGCCAAACAAATTGCAGTTTCTTATGGCCCAGCCTCAGCATGACTAACCCTGTGAGATTACATTTTACTCTGATGCTTTCCTAAGAGGATTGAGAACTAACCTGTTTTGTGTACAAAATCATCCTCTGCCATGTGCCTGAGTCATTGTACTCAAATCTAGGCTTCAGTGTGTCTTCTTTGCCATCCTTTGTAGCACCCTGGAAAAACAAACAAACAGAAAAACCAAACAAAAAACCCCCCAGCCAATGAACAGAAAAAGCAGCTAAAAACAGCATTAAGGTGTTCAGCCTTAAATCATAATTAGTTGATTAGGTTCATTTTATACAGTATATATATATAAAACAGCTGAAAGTCTGTAGCAGAGCACTTCCCCTATGGGAGGGAACAAGTGGGAGGTAGGAAGGGGGAGTCTTTGCAAGCATAAAGTTGGCTAAAGCAGTTCTTGTGCTCCCTCACAAAACTCTGTCAACTCTACCTCCAACAAGAAAGGAAAGGGGCAGGTAAAGTATGACATGGAATCCTAGGGAAGGGAGAAAACAGCAGAGTAAGGCTAGATGTTTTGCTGCTGTAGAGGCTGCCAAGGGAATATGTTTCAGAATAGGCTGGGAGGGGGACATAGACAAGTGGAAGGGATTTAAAACAGATCACCCTTTTCTCCCCAGACCTTCCCTTTCAACCTTAGTT